AGAGAGAGAGAGAGAGAGAGAGAGAGAGAGAGAGAGAGAGAGAGAGATTTTATAATCTTCTTTTTCAGTCATTAAATGAGAATTCACAATTTCTGTCAGTCAATGTTAAGCTATTGTACTTTATTTTATGATGAGGTAAAACATTTGGTTAAACAAATTAAAACTTTAATAAGCAGCTTTCTAGTAATTAAAAGTTTGCTGTAGAAAAACAGACATTGAAGGATGCTGACAGGGAGTGCCTGACGAGTGGGTGTCCCCCCTCACACTTTTGTGCTTTGTAGGAGCTCAGTTTTTGTGTCGGGCTGATGAACACACGACTGAGAGAGGCTCTGAGTATTTGCATAGAGTGGAAGGCAGGCTGTTGAGTAGAGGAGAGGAGTCAGAAGATGAACTGTCTGCCAACCTCCCCAAGAGAGGGGAGAAGAGGGGCCAGACACGACTTAAACTAAATGAACCACAAACAAAACCTATAAATAGCCTCCAACGCGTTCTCTGTGCTTCTGCCAGCGCACAAACGCACACATTCATATGTACAGACGGATGACAATTTAAAGAGAAAACAACTCTGGCTTTAACTAACAACTATTTTCATTACCAAAGTATCCACTGATTATTTTCCCAGTGAATCTATTCATTATGTAGTTGGTCAAATTTCTAAAATATTGTGGGAGACAATGCTCCTCGCAGCTTCTCAAGAGCCCCAATCCGACGTCTCCAAATGTCTGACTTTGTTTGAGCGTCGTGGTCGTCACACCAGCATCCTTTTCGGTTTACAGAGACGCTGCAGTAGCAGTTGCTGGGAGTAGTGAACCTTATTCATTTTGGACAATATCAAAGAAACATGTAGGAATTGCAATTATTTTCATTATTGATATAATCTCCAACTATTTTCACAAAGCTGTAGAACAACAGTCCAAGGTGACTTAATCATCAAATATTCTCTTTTGTCCGACCAGCCGTCCAAACCCCAAAGAGATTCAATTCACTGCAATGCAAGACACAGAAAAGCAGCAAATTCTCACATTTGAGAACCTGGAATCATTATGTTTGGCATTTTTTTGATGACAAATCTGCTGTACGGCTGCGTCGACTTCATCCACATTGTTTCTGTATTCGTCATGAGTGTTGCTAGCTAGCGATGGAGGAAGATGCTGCCTCGATAACTCAAAAAGTTTGACTCACAGAGGAAATGTGTTTATGTTGTTGTGTTGTGTCTACAGCACACATTCATCGGTTGCTGGCAGTTCTTTTCATCAGGCCTCAAACTTAACAGCTGAAATGTTTGTTGAGCAGAGAGAGAACTCTTTTCCATCTTTTTAAATATATTTTTTATAATTTCTGCAAAGGAAAGGTCAGTTTATTTGAATTTTGCATGCACAATAAAGTCCAGTATCTCTCTCTGCCGTGTATCAGTGCTGCAGTCTTTCTGCTGAGATGTGTTTGACCTCCACATACGAATATATTAAACTTCTTTTAAGCCCAGAGAACATTTCCAAGGTTGTTCAAACATTCATTTATTTGGGATGGAATGTTTTTCAACCCTTAACTTTTGAGTGCCATAGTGACACACAGTTCTTTTTCACGAGGTAGAATAGTTTAATAGTTTGTGTGCTTTTGTAACGCAGTCTCAAATATGTCTGACCTTTTTCATTCACCTTTCATTCAATTTTTTTTGTCCAAAAATCAAGCTATTGGAAGTCGGTTGAATTAATAAGTGCAAGGAAGGGCTTTTGTGAGGAACGATGAAAACCCCACGCTGCACAACACTTGAACAGCGAAGAAAGTTTCCTTTCTTCGCTCGTCAATCCAGCGTTCTCGAGGCTTAAACAGCTCCGGTTGATCTCAAAAGATTTCGCTTTTGTGCATCTTGTTTTTTCTTTATCAAAGAAACCTTGCGTCTTGTGTTTAGTCCTGATTGTTGAAAACTCTTTGGGCGGACGGACAAAGGTTACACATAGGATTCAATATTAAACATTTGTATGTGTATCATCATTTCTTCATACCGGAGCAAGTACTGAAGCTGGCTATCGATTTCCAACAGAAGGCTGGATTTTACCCAGATTTTGAGGGTTCATCTCATTTGTTTTAACCAGTTATCTGTCCATCAACATGCCTAACCTGTCATGTCGGCATTTATGCAATTAGTTACGGCTCAGCACGGTTTCTTTTAGTGTGTGTTTTGGTTTTGACTGTTGAATACATCCGATTTGGCAACTAGCTAGTTTCCATCTGTGGTCTCTGGCAAGTAAAAGTGAGTCACGTTTGTGGTGAACTACCTTATTCAGATAAGTTTGGCCAAATCGTTTCAGGTTTTTACTATTCAAGTGAAATTGATAATTTAATTATCCTTGATTGGCAATCTGACACTGATTAGTTATATACATCCTTATGCACAAAAGATGTAAACCCCCTTCATTTGATTTCACAGTGAAAAAACACTCTTATATCTGAGCAACGGTGTGCTAGTTCACAGACTGAGGCAGATAATAGGCTGCCTCCTCTGTGCCATGGTGTCTAATCCCCTGGACCATATGTCAGCAGCTTGTCAAGCCCAGAGTCAGTACAGCCAAAGGACAGAGCTATGCAGGACAGGAAAACACAGACACACTGTGCGTCCACATGTAAGCAGTAATTGTGCTTTTGAATTTTTTCAGTTACTTAAAGATTGGATCAGTAGATGACGGGTTACTGTTAGTGTCTAGTTGTGAATTATTAGTAGATACGCAGTTGAAGATAAAACAGAAAATGGATCCTTTTCAACTAACGATGAGTTTTTGGGGGGGACAGAGGGGCTGGGAGGAGGCTGGAGATCATCATGGTGCCATTGTGACACAGAGGGGCGGTTAAAGTGTAGCAGAGCGGTTTATAGAAACAAGCCAGCTGCTACATCACAATGAAGCTAACTGAAACCTGCTCTCATTTCCAGGAGACAACAGCGGCCTCAGGGAGGAGGCGGAGGAGGAGGAGGAGGAGGAGGAGGAGGAGGAGGAGGAGGCGGAGGAGGAGGGAAGAACCAACCTCAGCTGATACAACAGCAGTCACCACAGCACCAGAGGGATCAATCCCAACATCAATCCCCAAACCAACAGGAGCAGAATCTAACAGAACTGGGAGATATCAGAAACAGTAGTGCTGGTCGGCCGCCTCGCCAGTATCAGGGAGGACATGGGCAGCGCCAAGGAGGACCCCCGCACCACGGATACAGCCAGAACCGGCGTTGGCACCACAATCCGAAAGGCCCTGGGCATGGACAGACGAACTTTACAGGTGATAAAGGAGCACCCCCAAGGACAACCAAAGACAGAGAGACTGAGAATGTAAAACCAGAAGACGAGCAAATCAGACCTCCTCAAGACAACAGCAGTAAGGGTCCCAATGAATCACCCAGACCAGTGTCGACACCCACTACAAATGTGTTCCCACATCTGACAGTTAGAAAGGAATCTCCCAACCCGCCAAGAAGTCGAAAGGGAGGCGAGGGCCAGTCGGAGCAGCCCAAAATCAGCTTGCTGCAGTCGTCGAAGGAGAGACTGAGGAGGAGACTAAAGGACAAGGTACCGAAAAGCTGCTTAGTGCCCGTCAGTCAGTATTAAGGCAATCAGGACTAATGTGTACGTGTACACACGCGCTAGCATTTAGTGTTATAATTACCTTCATTATGTTCACGCACACACACGCACCGTCATCAAGTAGACATATAGTTTTCTCACACAGCCTTTCTTCAGGCCGTTCCTCTCTTTAGTTCTTTAGCATTCAGACCAACACACCCAGACATGTCCTCACTAAGGAGGTGAAGAGACTAAAGCAGCATTAGCTTAACTGTTTTTGATCTTTTCCACTTTGTGCACTAAACCGGCGAGTCAGCCAACTGTGTTGCTGCTCTCAGCTTCTCTTGCTCCTCTAACTCGTTACCACCATGGGGTGGTTTCAATTTGACAGCATGGAACTCCCCAGCAGGCAGGAATTAATGAACAGCCACGCCAATGAATCAATGGATCCAGTCTCGGAGACAGATTTAGCTTGATTGGGTTGTGTACTGAACTCCAGCAAATAGAATGCAACTTATTTAAGCAGCCTTTGTTTTGTTTTTGTTATAGTTTACCGTCTGCACGGGGCTGTCGCCTCAACTTTCCAATTAAACTACTGCGTTCATGTCCATTATTATTGTCAAACGTTGACAGTACAATTTGAATATTGTCACCTACCGCTCGTATCCTTTTTCCATCTTCCGCCTCACTCAGGAGGAGGCACGTGTGGAGGCGCCGGGCTCCGGATCGCAGAGCATGGACCGGCTGGTGGACCTTCTCAACAGCATGAGGAGCAACAGCAGCGGGGTGGAACAGCAGCTGGCCTCCTTCATGGAGGAGGCGCAGTGCTCGGCGCGGTCCGAGGAAACCCTGGCTCAGGTGGTCAGCACCATCTACTGCAAGGCCGTGTCAGACCGGAGCTTTGCCGCCACAGCCGCCAAGCTCTGTGACAAGATGGCACTGTTCATGGTGGAGGGGACCAAGTTCAGATCGCTGCTCCTCAACATGCTGCAGGTGAGAGCCCTGCTCGACCATCTGTTGTTGCAGTTGCCGCTTCAAGCTTTCCTCTGCAATGTTTACTCCTTTATTGATGGAACTCAGAGTTCAATACAACAAACTCATTAGTTAAATGGACCCGCCTTGTTTTTTCTTATTTTTAACTTGGCGTAGTTACTTCTCATGAAGATGAGCAAACAGAGTGGCGGCAACGTCGGGCTGAAGATGAAATTAAAGAGAAACGAGTTGACTATTATTTCTGATATCAGGCAAAGTTTATTAGTTACACCTCGGTAAAAACCGATGCCGTCTAATACAGCATGTTATTTTGACAAACTCTCAATTATCCAGTGTTAATATTGAACTGTGTAAAGTCATTTATCAAGCAAAAATGTCGAACATGCTCTCGTTCCAGCGTCTTAATTGTGCGGATTTGCTGCTCTTCTCTTGTTATATAATCGAAAATGCAATATCTTTGAATTTAGGCTGTTAGTCGTACAAAACAGTCAATTTGAAAGATCTCAGCCGTGGCCCTGGGAGATTGTATGTGGCATTTTCCACTGTTTTATGACGTTTTTTTAAACTAAATTGTCAATTGATTAACCTAATCATCAGATTACGCATTAATGACCCTGAAGATTTTTGGATAAACTACCTTTCACTCTCTCACTAAAGTCTATTGCTTTACTATTTCTAAGCCCTGTGTAGCTTGCACCCAAATATCCCAAGAAATGCAGTACTTGCTGTCAACAAGATCTCAAAATGCCCTTTCAAAGATCCTTCTGAGCTACCAGCGCTTGATAAATGAGCAGATGTTTTTTTGGCCAACCAGTCATTTTATACGCTGGATGTTTGCAACAGAAATGTCCCTGTAATGTCAGTGGCTTTATGAGGAAGCACTTTCAGGTGGAAGCCAAATGTGTGTGTGTGATTCTGTAAATGTCAGTAAGTAAAGTGGCTCATCTAAACACCCAGGGGAGAGAGACCTGATCGAGTGAGCCCCCCCCTCCCCACACACACACACACACTTAACTGCACCCATGAAGGCAACATCCTCTCAGCTGTTATATATTCCACTGCCTCTCTCCCCCTCCTCGTCCCTCATGAGCTTTCTATTACTGCTCTCTCCTGTCTTATTGCCTCCCCTCACCCGGAACGACATGGGCCAGTACCTCGCTGCCTCTCCCCGCACACAACTCCTCTCTCTTTCTCTCTTCCTCTTTCTCGAAAGATGCTTCTCCCTTTCACCCTTTCCTCAATTTTGATATTCAGACAAACCTCGCCCCAGACAGTCTAGAAGTAGGCAAACGAGACTTACACGCTGTCTTCAGAAGACAGTCGAGGTCTAAATGTTAACCCACCTGCTGCCATCTTTTCACTGTTACTCCTTTTTCCGTCTCCTGAAGATGCTCATTTCAACCCGAGCCTACTTTCTGTTTTCCCATTAAAACACCTTTTTCTTTCAATGTTGAGATTGTTATTCCAGACCCAGCAGTAGTGAATCCCACCTTAATCCTTTTACCCCCTTCTATGCTTTATTCCCTCTTTTTCACAGCTGGTCACCTCCTCTTCTTTCATTTCTCACTTTAATTCCCACTTCCCAGCCAGCATGGACCCCCTCCTCGTCTTTGACATTTAGGTGTTTTTTTCTTTGCTTTAAAATGTTTTAAATGCCACTAGTGGATTCACGAAGGCCGTCATTAATGATGCTGCTTCCAGACCCCTAGATCTCAATATGGGGGCAGTTAGTCTGTTGCTGCTGTCATTAAAATGTGGTCAGGTTGTTACCTGTGGAAGATGCTATTTACTTCCAGCTGAGAAGAGCCGGTGGCCTTTGTTTGTTTGCTACTGCCGTCGGCTCCTTCCTCATCATCTTCTTTTCTTAAATAAGCTCGTCTTTTCTGTTGCTTCAGTCCTGTTTTTCTATACGTGTGTATCTTACCGTTTGTTGTGGAAGTGTCAAGTACTGTGGCGAACAGTACTATGTCCTGGGAGGTGTATGAGAGGCATGTGCAGCTGTTTTTGAGTGGGTGGTGTGTTTGTTTTTGACAGTGTGAGTGTGAGGTTTTTTTCTTCTGTTGGATCCATTCAAGGCTGCATATTCTGTGTATGTCTGTGTACAAGCAGGCCTTCAGTGCAGTCGTACGAGTCCGTGAATATATAAGCCGCTTGTGTTTCTAGTGCACTTCAGTAACAGCCAGTACATTCTGGATGAGCAGATTGAGTTCCTCTGACTGTTAATAAAGTTTCAGTTTAACCTGCCGTGTAACATCTTTGCAAGTGCGCATTACGCATTAACCCATATTAACCCCAACACTTTCACAGCATTGACACAGTTCACTACCCTTCACTTTCAAACCAAATTAACATATTCTCCTCTGCTGCTGGCAGATAAACCAAATTCATGAATTTGTTTGATGTGCTTTTCAACTGCTTTTTTGGCTTTAAGTGCTTTAAGCTGCGAGGTTAATACGTGTGCCACCTACAGAAACTCCCATCAGGGAGATAGCAGAGATCTTAATGGTGATTACCACCACTGCTGATGAATTCATGAAACACTTATATATCCACCTACCTACCGCCTACTTAGAACTTGTATCACGCTTTTACAAAAGCTGGATAGACTGTTGTTTTTCATTGTACTTTCCAGACCAACTATGTATCTGAATTGTTCTTTCTCCCTCCACCTCCACACAGATGGACTTTGCCTGTCGAGAGGAGCTCCAGCAGTCGGATGTGGAGAGGTGGCTCGGTTTCATCACCTTCTTGTGTGAGGTGTTTGGTACCATGAGGAGCAGCTCAGCGGAGCCCTTCAGGGTGCTGGTGTGTCCCATCTACACCTGCCTACGAGAGGTCTGTATCCAGACACACACACCCTTTTTTTTTTTTATCAATAAGTATGCCAATTACCGATTGATCAACCCTGTCTACTTGTTCCAGTAAAACGGGAAAGCGTCCAGCTGTGACTGTACATCTTGTCTGTTCAGACCGATTAGTGCACCTAGTTTCCTGTTTTTGGCCAGACATTGTCTAGACTTGAGACACACCACAACAGGGTTTGATTAGTGGTGTAAACAGTCAGGACACCATCGGTTCCAGGAAAATGCATGACCCCAGGTTCAGTTCTCATCAGCTGGTCACGCTGTCTTGCACAAACACTCCCTTGGTCTCCATGGTAAACCAACTGGGGTAGCCATAGCAGACGCGTCGCGATACAGAAGTGGTTAACGACAGATGGAATATTGAAAGGGGAAGCGAGTGAGGGGGGGGGAGGGAGAAAGAGAAGAGGTGAGAGGAAGCGAAGGAGTCTGCGGTCAGGTTGACAGTTTGCAGCAGAAGACATTTACCGATGGCATGACGTGTAGAAAAGAACGGAGAGAAGAGATGACAGAATCTGGGAATGAAAACCATTTCATTGTGTAAGTTTGAGAGGTTGAGAAAAAGCAATGGCAGGTTTGAGGCACGTGCCAGGAAGTTTCACCACCCACGTCCACACCTCTGCCGGTCTGGCACTCGACACACACCCCACACAACAATCAACACACAACTAATGCCATCCACGCCCTGTCTGAGCGTATGCCCAGGGCATTATCTCAGCTTGTTAAGAGGGCTCCGCGACACGGCCGAGGGCGTGGACCTGCAGTGTAGCACACCCCCATATTCCAGCATCAGCAGTGTCGCATTTAGCCTGATGGTGCTCGAGGTCAGAACACACTGTTAAACAAATGTCTAAATATTTGTATAGTAGGATGTGATTTAGTGCGTTTGTGGTTACGAGTCATGTGCTTGTTAGACCACCTCCGTTTCCCAGAGCCAGTGTTTCCAGATTATCTTTTTTTATCCATTTGCTGTTTTGTCCATCCTGTCGTAACATGTTGTTGGATTCCAGCTATAATCTATCTGCCATAATGTGCACTCGCCCGTGTGTGTGTGTGTATTTGCATAAAACAGTATGTGTGCCTGCACGCTTGTGTGTGTGTGTGGCAGTGCGTTTTGCCGCGGCTGTAGCTGTAACCGGCACAACAGGATTATGTAACAACTGAGGTGTGCTAAGATGTGTTTTTGAGAATACATGACAGCTGTACATATAAACAAAGCAAGTCGGTGCGCGGTGATCTCATCCATTCATGACTTACAAGCCAAACAGATGTGTGTCTGTGTCTGTGTGGAATTTTACATCAAAATAAATAAATACAGAAACTCGCATAGATGCGCTAAATTAGATAATCTTCGACTAAGTGTGCATTCAAGCACGCTTTTGGGCAACTTAGGATCAGCACAAGCTGTAAACTGACATATTATCAACCTTTAAGATCTCACGGTGAACATGTAAGAAGACAATTAAAACAAAGAGATGTCTTTATTGAATGTTTTAGGCTCACTGTATTTGTGAAGCAAAAGTTTTCCTCTCTTTTGCTTGCTACACTTTCAGCACGTTGCTGTAGTTGTATTGTTTAAGAAACTTTGTGGTGATTGTGTAAATTTAGAACAGCGATTGAGCCAAACAGCATGTCCATTAAACTGTTTAAATAAAGCTAAACAGGCAAATCAAAGATTTACATTTTTAATAACATTTTCCCCAGACAATTCCATAAATGTATGTAAAGCACAGCCTGTACTACACTACACTGCACACGCACAATACCAAACAGATTATTATAATACTGTACCTTAAAAGACAAAGGAAGGTACCATCCTGCACAGCCAGATAGTCATGGAGAAATCAGAAGAAGGAGAAAAGGGCAGCTAGCAGGGCGCTCGAGTTATCATATAACAATCTTTAACTGAAGAGAAAGACCTCCGTGTTGTCCACAGACGCCTTCGTCGGGGTTCATCTGTTGGTTTACAGAAATCATGCACATTCACAGGCTCGTGGTGACCTCAGGGGCTGTTGATATTGAGAGCGTGGGCCCTCATCGCGTCAGACAATCAACTCAGAATATTAAGTATAGTCGGACAATGATTATGTATATTTAAAAAAAATTATATATATTTTGAGCACCATCGCTTTGTAAGTTCTGGTGCTGATGCTAGACCTGCTGTTGCTATGCAACTATTGGAAACCAAAGTTGAAGCAGTCGTAATTTTAACTTTGAGCGTTTGTGTCATTAGTCCTCTGATCAAACATGTTTTTCTCTCCGGTCCAGCAGTGTGATGGCATACAATACACAAAACGAGTTTGAGTAATTAGGTCAAACTGAACAACCAGAATGTTTAAATAAATAAATGGATGTTTTTCTAGTTGACTGAGTAATTCAAGGTGTTTTCACGTTGGATGCATTTCTTCTATTTAGTGCTACAAGAGGATTACAGCTGGCCTAGTTTATCTCGCTTTTTATGTTCCAGATAAAATGTCTTTTGAATAAAAATACTTGATGGGAATCGCACAGAATCCCGATGTTACCCTCTGCTGAGAGATTTCCTCTCTTGATTATGTAACTGAGCTGAGAGACTTTTGTGTGTTAAGTGGTCTCACAGAAACGATGTTTCCTTTCCTCTTGCAGGTATTACAGAGTGATTCATGTATGTTGTTGTGTAGCAGCGCATTGGAGAACATAAAAGGCTACTGCAGTGGATAGCGGCACTGATTAAATGAGTATAGATTAGACCATTTTAAAGGTATTGAGCAATAGCTTCCTCCTGGGCTCCCCAGAGAACTCATTATGAGCTTATCCTGCTTGTCACACAGCTCTCCTTCTCTGGGAACGACGAGACTTTAGTTCCCACAACAAACGGCCACGCTGTCACCACACCCATCTAAGCATGCTGCGGAGCTGACGTCGGCACGACTGAATGATACGTGGAATACCATGAAGCTTACGGCTTAGAAATAACAGCTCGTGTTGAGTGTGGATCATAGCGTCAGATGGGGGAGAACCTTTTATTATTCAGTTATGAAGAATCATTTACATAACTTTTTTTCTTTGAGCTCTTTTGTAAAGAAAGTGCTCAAGCGTTGTGTAGTTTTGAATGAAAGTGATTGGTTGAGTTGTGTGGCTTGTTTACATGCTGCGTGTGGGCTCCATCAGCTGGCTGGGGCACCTCGATATCAAGCCAGCTGTGTCATGTGGAACTAGAAGGGTTCTTTAAGGAGTACTCTTTGTTTTTTTATGATTACACTATGCCGTGAATTTAGTTTTGCATTATTTAACATTTTTTGCTTAGTTCATAATTCATGTTCCTTATGTGCCTATTATTACATCCTGAGGTTTTATTGCATTTAAATTATTCAATTATTATGTATTTTATTACATTATGAGTTGGCACACATGTCATAGTATATGCAATGTCATTTTCAATACATAAAAGTTATAGTATGTCATTAAATAGTTAGTTTAATATCCTGTAAAAATATGAGTTTGAATGAATTCTTTGTCACAAAAGATCATAAACATACCCTAGTATATGTCATAGTATAGTATGCTGTTCAAATGTGATAAAAGAGTCATATGTAATGTAAAGTACATGAAAACAAAGTATACTATTCCATAAAAATGATGAAAACATCAGTCCTAAAACGTCATAGTATATGTCAAAAGAAGAAGATTCCCCGTTTTATCCGCATATGGGCTCAATCAGACATTGCATTGACGATGTACTAGGGACCTGGCGGACGTCTGTTTAATGTCCGGTCCGACTGATTCGGACGTTTGCGTTCTCGCATACAGCTCCTCTGGGTCTAGATCAGTTTAGGGTTGCAGTGCATGTCTGAAAGGGGCTTTATTTTGCCCGTTGTGCAGCCGGTCTATGCTTCTACGGTTTGATTACACTTCATTCCTCTGTTACTTCCTTTTCCTCCCTCATGTTAATCAAAGTAGCACTTTGGAAACAGACATGTGAGGAGTAAAAGTATTTAACCAAATGTCTTTCTGCTGTAATCTGACACTAGATGTTTACAGGCGTGGTGGTTCTACCTCCCTTTGTTGCCGTCGCTCCCCGCATTGTTTGAAAGTGCCAGTTGTATGTCCATCTGTGCATGGGGGCCAGTGCTGGGGCTGGAAAGCCAGCAAGCGTGTTTACCAGCTCCGCTGTTTGTTTTTGGCTACGGTGTGTGTGTGTACACACACACACACACACACCGTACTGGTGTGAGCAGACATACAGTGTGCGTAAAGCCAGCCTTGATGTCTGATGGTGGCTTGCCAGGATGAAAGGCCTGGTGTGTTGTCTTCCAAGATTTAAAATGTTAATATAGAAAATATTTACAATTGGGATTAGGTCTTTCTCTTTTTTTCCTCCATGTGAACTGATTAACACACACAAACACTTGCGTTTGCTTAATCTCCCCATGTGGCCTACATCCAAATATACATTTATACATCTTTATTTATTTATATACAGCCCTTGGGTTTGCTCGCTCACTCTGTTATGCAGCTCTTTGCAGGTTCCCTGTATATTCACATAGTGTCTGTTATTGTCACTTTCAGCTGTTGGAGTCCACAGATGTTAAGGAAGATGCAGTCCTGTGCTGTTCAATGGAGGTATGGTCCCCCCCGTCATGCATGCACGCACGCACGCACACACACACACACTCTTTTAAAAATTAAATGCAGTAAAACATCTGAACAAATGTATGTAAGAAACGCATTCTGCGCATTGGAACCAGCCATGTTTTATTATAGTGCACAGTACGTGCTGGAGAAGTCGCTCGTATGTTCAATCTCAAACACATCTCTTTGATATTCTGTGGAGGTCTCCTGGGGGTTATGAATAATAAAGCAGTGCCGGTGAATTTAAGTACAGCTATGGATTTAATCGTAGGTATATTTAGGTCCATAAAGAGGAGCAGTAAGCTCTCACCATCAATGATATGAAAATAAGACAGAGGTAAAAATGTATCATTATTATCTAACAATTGTAATGTTGCGTTAATATACATATTCATATTTTTGTGTATTTTTTCATGCCAACAAAGCCACTTTGAATAGAATGGATTTGAGTTAAAATAACAGAGCAAAGATAGGTGAGCTATCTAAACAGTTGCCAGATGTTCACAAACACAACCACATCCTTTTTGCAGTCTTGATTACTTACCAGCAGGCTACACACACACACACACACACACACACACACACACACACACAGAGCCTTATGGCAGTGTGTGAACCACTGCTGTCTAAGTGAATCCAGAGTAACAAGGTGCCAGGCGTTGTGTTTGGCTCACTGTAAGGGACAAGCACACTCTCTCTAACCTCCTGCCTCCCCCCCCTCCCCCCTCTGTCCCTTCTCCTCTACACCAGTTGCAGAGCATGGGGCGCCTCCTGGAGGAGCAGCTCCCAGAGATGATGACCGAGCTTCTCGCAGCCGTCAGGGACAAGATGCTCAGTCCGGCCGAATCACAGCTGACTCGCTCTCTCCTGATGGAGGTCATCGAGCTGCACGCACATCACTGGAGCCCCCTGGAGGCTCTCACCACCCAATACTACAACCGTACCATCCAGAAGCTCACCACCACTGCCTAGGTGCCAGCTCCCACAGGAGAAGAGGAGACGAGCCCTCCTGAAAGCCCCTTGGAGACATTTTTCAGTTGAGCGTCAATCGGCTCTTTTAGTTTGACCAAAACACAGGAATTTAATAAAGTCACTCTCCGACCGAAGTGAATCCGTGCTTTACGTGGGTTTTGAACCTAGTTGTATAGTTTGCTAATTCCTCCAAGATAGGCGAGCACTGCCACAGATAACCGTACACTATCCACCAAACAGTTAGCTATCAAGCAAGCCATCGAGGCAACACAAGCTTATTTGACACGCATTTAGGAAAACAGCAACGTATTTATGGCCAGTAGGGGCATGCTTGGCCACACAGAGGGAGCTCGCCTTGCACAGGCTGCTGAGGGATAAAGGAGGGAACAGACAAGAGGGGAGTGTGGGGGAGAGGAGGAGAGGGCAGCAGCCTGCCCGTAGGGAATAGAGCGATCCGTACCCAAAGATGAATGGAGGGGCTTAGGGTGGGAGGTCAGGGTAGTCCGTGTCAGTCTCTTCATTGTGTTCATTTGCCCACCGCACTCCTCCCCCCCTCCTCTGTCTCTCCGTCAGCCTCTGGGGTCTGTGTGGCTGATAAAAGAGAGATGAGGAGGAGGAGGAGGAGGAGGAGGCAGGGAGCGAACACGGTGCTGTCTGTCTGGGCCGTCTGCCCCGCCGGGGCCAGGGACCGGGTCAAAGGGCCTCGCTGTGGAGCTCCCACAGCGCCTCCCCGCCTTTGTCTCCCCCCCCCAAACTCCACACCCCACTGCAGGAAGCCTTTTTGTGGAGATGAGACAGCGGGCCTGCTGGGCCTGATGGCTGGGTGGAGGATAAGGATCAGGCTGGCTAGAGTAGGGTGGCAGATGGCTGCTTGAGCCCATGTGAGACGACACACACCCCTCTGGCACCCCGGCTCCCTGCTCCCCGAGCAGTAAAAAATATTGCAGTTGGGGGTGCGGGGGGGGGGGGGCAGCATTAGAAAAGCATTAAAACAAACACTGCTGTGTGATAATTCTTTTGTTTTTGGTCCTACAGGGGAAGGTCTCTTCTCCTATGTTGAGTCGTGCATGTACATGCTTTGTTAACCACATCTTTGATATTATCATTATTTTATTTTTTTAAATAATTTAGTGTTTTTATTGTTGGTTCATTTTGAAGTCTTGTTTTTATGAAGTGTATGTATGAGGTTTTAGTGGTAGGCCTTATTGCACAGGTTTGATTTGTTTTGCACTGTTCTGCTTTAAAGTTGAATTTGAATCAGTGCTTGTGGATCAATAGGAAACATCTCAGTAGTGAGACACATGGGTGAAGCATAGTGAGGGTTTTTAGGATGTTTTAATGGACTAGTGGCCTTATAATTTATCCATCTGTATAGGAGCTCTCTGGCTGCGGGGCCTGCAGCAGCAGCAGAGGGCATGCTGAGGACTTGACAGTTGGTCTTATTCACATCATTCTGTCGCTGACGGAAAAAAAGGACAAAGTGACGTGATGACAAAAAAAAAAGAAAAAGAGCATGGCACACAGAAAGGAGTGAAATGCTTCTTTAACGTGTTCTCATACTCGAGCCATTCTTTGCGGTGGACATTTTGCAAGTGTTTAATATTGACTGTATTTGCTTTGTGTTTGAGGAAAATGACAACTATTAACCTGTGTATTTGAAGACAATGACGAAAAAAATAATTCTTATTGTATGACCTCATTAGCTAATCATATGTGACCCTTATTCCAGCTAATGTGTGTACTATGATATTGACGTACCAAGCCAATCATGTACCATTTATAAATGGGCTATATATATATATATATATATATATATATATATATATATATATTCTGCATACAGTATATTTACAAGTATTTAAAAAACATTGGAATAGAGGTGGATAGTGCGACAGAGATGTTACACACAGGACGGCTGTGGTTGTGTGGCTCGAGTTCAGCCTTCCGATGAGGAACTAGTTCTTTGTTTGGGAGTAGTCACACACGCATACATGCGCATATACTCATGCACATGTATGTACATACTTAGTGACCCACTGAATCTCTGCGGGCAGTTTTAAGTGTTTTTATATTATTTTCTCTGTCTTGCATCAAGAATTAAGAATCCTGTGTGGTAGAAACACCACCCAGAAATCTGTTAGATGAGAAGGGTGATTTAAAGCTCACATATATGTTTTTGGGGGTGCAGCCTAATCGTCTGTAACTGTGTGTCTACTTATGAAGTAATTTGTTTTTTGTTGTTGTGTTCTATTTTGTTTCTAGGTTTGTATTTAAATTATATTTAGCTCATATATACAGTATATATATATAGATATATATATATCTATATATATATCTGGCGGGTTTTCAAGACATCCGAAAAACAGTTGTGATACCTAGCTTGCTGTGTAAGTGTGGTATTACAGTGTTTTAGTTTATGAACAGAAAATACCTATCGGCGAGTTCCCATTATGCAAAGAGCAACTTGCTCTCACAGCAGGTGGGGTTTCCACCCCCCTTGTCTGTGGTACTGGAGCCTCCCCCACCCTGTGTGCCCTTAGACCCTTCTGCTCGGGGTCCAATGACTCACTCGACAATTGAATGAGACACCCCTTCATTTGCATATTCGCATGAATATTGAAAAAAAGAAACCGAGGTTCTGCTTAGCACACAGACCGGCTGTAGATTGGCAATAGTGGGTCATCTTGTAAGCTCTTGTTTTTTGTTTTGTTTTTCTAAGCAACTGAAAAATAAACTAACGGTGGGGAAAAAAATTATGTGACGAAACAAACCGGTGTGTTTTTCTGTCTGCTTACTCGCCAACACAATCACATGGAAGTCAGTACAAGTATGAGGAAGATATTCAGACATCACAAAGGGAACAATAGTGCACACACACCGTTTCCTCTGCCATTACCAGCTAGACTGCGTAACTAATCCTGGCACCACAGTAGGTCATTATACAAACAATTCATACATGTGCACACTGAAACTCATTAACACGTCTTCGCCTCTACATGGTCACACATTAAACTGACCACACTTGAGAATTTTTAAAGCAAATGTTGCAGTACGTCTTTGGCCAGTGTTTTGCCTTTGGTTGGCCCTGACACATGCCTGGGGCTCCCAGTCTGTGGGCTTCCCAATGGGAGAGCTCAGGGCCGGGGTTGCCTCCCCACTGAGGACCCCCATCCTTAGAACCTACGGGACTTTCTTCAGCACTCGTCCACATCGCTCAGCATAAAGCCCTACAACAACGTATTTAAATCCGTTTGGACAGTGTGATATGCCCTTACAATTTGCCAGTGATGGATTCATGATGGTTTTGTTTCCTCTACAACCAAAACTGAGTGTATGCGTGTTTTTAACACAATACAAGCAGGGACAATAGGCAAGATAGTATAGAGTAATAGACAAACCAATCTTGCAAAAGGCGCGTAAAGAAAGTAAGATCAAGCTGCTGTAGAGGAAGAATAGAGGGAGAAAATTCATAAGTGGAAAAAATGCATTAATAATTCATGGTATAGTACTGTATGTAGAAAAAAGTCAAAGTATAACATGTTCCACGATAGGCCTCTGTATCGACTTTGTTTATGCTGTGAAAAGCAATGAAGCAGTATTGAGCTATAAACCTTGTGATCTAGCGAGGAAAGCTGACTTTGGAAAAGGCATGAATACAGAAAAGAATGATTTCAGTCATAGAACATCATAACAAAGTCATAGTGTATTATGTCGAAACAAGTCATAATATAGTACGTCCAAAAAACAATGAAAGTATAGTATGTCGAAGTGCTATAACGTTTTGATTTGTTTTCTATATTAAATTCTTAAAATCCATACTGGAATCCAGGCCGCCTAGGTGAAAACCAGGACTCCTTACCGCTAGACCTTATGGGACATATTTAAAGAAGACTTTTTTCGACATACAATACTATGACTTTTTTATTCCTTTTTTTCACATGCTATACTATAACTTGTTACAACATGCTACACAATGATGTTTTATGACACGGTATACTATGACTTTTTTCAACACGCTATACTATATTATATTATTTTCTTAAAATCCCATCCCCATACCGGGAGTCGAACCCAGGCCGCCTAGGTGAAAACTAGGAATCCTTACCGCTAGACCATATGGGACATATTTTTGGACTTTACAAAGACTTTTTTCGACGTACTATACTATGACTTTTTTTTTTATGTATGTTCAAAAATGTCAAGAAAGGTCATAGTAGAGTATGTTAGAAAAGTGTTGAAAAAAAGATCTTGGAGTGCCAAGATAACTCACATGGCAGAGTGGGTGTCCCATGTACCAAGGCCGTGTGCTTGCCCCAGCAGACACGAAAAGTCATAGTGTAGCCATAAAAAGCCAAGACTAGCATGTCATAAAAAATTCAGTATGGTATGTCTGAAAAAAGTCATACTATAGCATGTCCCTAAATATAAAATGTAATATATGTCATGAAAATGTCAGTAAAGCATGCTATTAAAAAATATATAGATATAATAGTGTGTTATAAAAAGTCATAGTACAGCATAAAGAAGACTAAGTAATAGCAAAGTATGTCATCCAAAAAATTCATAGTATATTGAGGAATAAATGCAAACTGTGGAAGAAAACCAGAGCCGGCCCTGGCTGACCATTAGCATCATAGTTAATTTGTCTCTGTGCATTGAAAACAGACAGTTGAACAGACATGTTGGCCCTCAGGGATAATGTCTTGCTGCCTGGCTTGCTATGGCGCTGGAGCCTAAACTGGTAAGACACAGTAGCTGTGTCTCCAATTTAGAATAAAATCACATTACAACAAGATGGTGTTATTTGTCTGCAAGCCAAGTGACACAATTAGGAAAAATGTAAGATCCTGGGAGAAGAGACTTCTGAGTGAACAAAAGGACTGCAGGCTATATGGATTGACGTCGTCCATTTTCATTAAGTTTCAAATTAATATGTTTGCAAAGATTAAAGATGGACTACAGCTGAAATGCTGCGATCATCAAAACAAAATGTAGCAACAACTATTTTGACAATTATTCATCAAGCAAAAATGCCAAATTACTGGTTTCAGTCTCTCAAATGTCAGAATTTGTGACTGTTAACGGGTCCAAGTATGAGACAAAATACTACAATGCCCATGAGTCTCGCTGCCATCACAATGGAGATGAAGCCAATCGTAGCAGAAGTGAATTAAAAACATTTCATCCTTGAAGTTGTGAATAAGACGTGGCGCCATATTTGCCAGAATACAAAAATGAAGTTGCAAATGTTATCATCTATCTTCCGACTGCAACCTTCATCTTTTGAAAATCAAAGAATTACTTATTTTCTAACACAGTTGTATATTTTGATTAACATTTTCACATTATTTTGACATTTCATAGACTACTAGACAATCGCTTCATCGAGAAAAGTATAGGCAGAGTAACTGGAAATAATTTGCTCATGTGTGCATCATGGCGCGGTATCATGACCTTTGCCTACTTTCTCTGCTGCCATTGACGGATGAATGGATGCGAGTGTGGAAGGGTGACTCACACAGCAGTGCCGTCCATTTTTTTCGAGGCAGACAAAATCAGCTGGCCTTGATGACAAAAACATGGAGAGAGGACACTTGAATTATTAAGATAACTGCTTACACACTAACCACACACACACACTCAATTTAGACAACACAAGCGCCAGCAGATCCTGTGTTCAAGTATCTCCTTGCGGATGTGTCTTGTATCTTCAGTTGTCTGATGGCTCACACATTGTGTTTTTTAGACCTTTTACGACCTTTATTTTATTTTTTTTCCGTCTGCACAGTGTTCGTCTTTCTATGTTTGATCAGCACACAAACACACTAGAGGAGAGTACTGCAGAATCTGTTCCCTTTGGTCCGAGGGGTACAGAGGCCGTATGTTGTGTAAAACAAAGTGAAGTTAAAACACACACAAGCATCCCCAGATGTTTTCCTACAGTGCGTTTGCTGTGGGAGAAATCAATAACTGTGGGCTACGAAGTGGTTTTAGCTCGCTCTCTTGACCTTTCCATCTCAGCAGCAGCTACTGCGCTGAAGTTTATTCTACTGCCCAAAAAAACAGCATTCTATCTCCACTATAATTGGAATCAGACATTTGAGTTTATCGTGTACGGATTCTGGAGACTATCGTGGATCTCTGGACTACATTTATTTATTAATAGTACTTTTTAGTACCGCTATTTCTTCACGTCTACTTCCAAATGAACTCAGGGTGTCATATCCACCTATATATCTTTACATGGACTCTGTGTGGAATATTACTAATTGTATGTATTATTGTTGTTGCTATAGTGAACTTACACCCTTGAATAATAAAGTTAAAATACGACTTTTTTCCAAATTAAAAGACCGACAGGAAGCAACAGTCTGCTCAATAAACCACCAGAATATTAAGAAATAGCACATGCTTAATGACTAGCAAAAACCTAAAAACTAATAGACACACACACACACACACACACACTTTATGTCCAAATGGAGTTTTTCGAGGAAAAGCAAGAACGTGATCTCAACAAGAGCGGAAACTGGAAAGCTGTATTCCTGCTTCCTGGACTGGCAGTGTAGGAAATTATGTCATGACCTCCTCATTTCCTCTTTTGGTGAATCACCTACTCAGTCAGTAAATCAACCAAATAATTGCTTCTTGGGCTGCGAGTGGATCACAACCTCATTCACTCGCAACATCAGATAACGTCTTTCTGTACAAATCAACTTAATATCAGAATGTTTCTAGAATCATTTCTACATTATTTTTTATTCAACCTCATTTAAAAAACGATGGCACTCA